TATATAAATTACACATTGGATTAGGAGAGTGAAATTAATAATTAAACAATGTTGGGTAACTTAATTAAAGTAGTATGTAATTCCAATTAAAATCTTTTTTACAAAAATAGTAGAATCTATTTATATATTTTATGAAATTTCACGTCAAATTGAATTTATAAATGTAAACCTTGTATATCTTAATAAATTAATTTTATAAAAAGAAGATAATAATCTAAATAGTATTGAGTCTAATCTAAATTCAATTCATGATATCATATCAAGTATTTCAATAAGTAAAATAAATAGTGTGCGTCATGGATTTAGATATGAGAAAATCTTACAAAATCATGTATAAGATAAGTAAGAAAATGATCTTAAATTTATAAATGTTAATATTATATGCCGTTATTCATATGATATCTTAAATTTAAATGTTTGAAAAGACGGGAAGATAAAAGCAAGGTTGCTTTGGTCACGTAAAGAAGAAGCGGGCGGAGCAAACGTCAGGGCAAAAAGATGGATTGGTGCAAAAGGTGTACATGGCAGAAGCGGGGAAGTTGGTAAAGGAGGGAAGTTAAATGTTGGTTGGTTGCCTACTCCAGTCCTCTGCGTATTCTTTTGAAACAGTTTTTAAGCTAAAACAAGAAATCAGCTTGGCCGAGGAGAACAAGCTGCCTCCCTCCCTCCTTTACTACCATTTTCAAGGCTGCCCCAACCATCCCCCATCTACAATTTCCTGTTCGAATTTTTCTTAAAACCTTATACAAAATGAAGCTGCTAATTCTAATTATTCAGCTTATGGGTCGCTAATCTATTCTCACATGCCCCAAGGTTGCTACAAGACGAAAAGTAGTCGCACGTGGCACTCGTGTAAGTGGGGTTGGGGAAACTGATGGAGTTGATAACCTGACATATCATCTGCTTGAAGCAGACTGGGATGAATCTGTGCCATTGCCATTTGCCAAGCATAAAAACAGATGATACTTATTATTATCCCAAAACTGAAAGATTGCTTGTCAATTTTCTATTACCCTTTTGAAGCATACCCCATACCTCAAATCCCTTAAGTTCTAACTCCAAAGTAAATAAAAACTACCGTTGAAGATGATCTATTACATGACTCCTTGAAGCTTCCATATCATGTTAGCTATTTTGTGCTAAGTTTGTAGATTACTTTAGTTTATACATGGTTGACCAAACTCTCTCTCTTTATATATATATGTACACATATATATGCGTACAATATAATAACAAAAATTAAGATTTATTAATTAATATTCTGTTAAGTCGGATAAGAGAGAACCGATTTCTTGATGTGTTGGGCACTATTAAGAATATAGTAATTGGAATATCAAAAGGGTTCTGCCTTGTAAAGGATCTAAAGTAACCTATGAATATGACTTATAATCATGTGAGATATCACAACCTTATAATTATAGCTTTATATGGGTTCAGATAATATTGGTTGGATAAAGACAGCCTGCCCGAGTCATTTTGCCATTAATTTTTATTTCAATTCTTATTGGACCACCTGATTGCTATGCTTCGTTTATATTTATATTTATTTTTATTTCAAAAAATGGGCTCTTAAAATTACAGATGAATGAGCCCACTTAATATTTCAAGGGCCAAGGTCGGGCAACCCAAAAATAGAAAGGTTGCTGATGGATCTCGAAATCAGGTCCAATAAGAACGAAAGCACCTTGAAGTGGGCCCAGTCCACTATCATCGAACTGCAACGTGGCGATTAAGGTGGAGCTGCAGTCCACGCGGGGATCATGACCGTTTAATGTGGGCAAGTAAGTGCAGTCCTGTTTGCGTTGACCCGTGCCATGCCAGCGGATCCGCTGGTTGGCCGATTGACCCCCCGATTTCAATGAATATGGGTTGATTAGATGATGATCACGATCCCTTTCCTGCCCCTCACCACCAAGGCGTCTATCACTTTCGGCGTCATCATCAAATCGTAAGGGTGACGAGATAAGGTCGTTGAGCAGTAGCATCATCATATTTCATTTTAAGCCCCACGCGACTTCACGGCAGTGCTGCAGACGCTTCCATTTTTGGTTTTCTTTTTCTGAAATTACTGCCTCTATGTTTTTTTGTTTCTTTCAGGTACTGATTGAGTTAGAGTTACAGTTGGAGCTGGATGCATTCTATGTTGATTCGAGAGTTACTCCACGTGCTTCAGTCCCAATTGTCATTGAACAGTTACGTATTCTCAAATTCGATAAGTATAGAGACCTATGAAACTGAATTTTGTGTATTTTATCACACTCATTTTTTAAAAAAATAATAATAATTTTGTACTAAAAATGATATTTATTCAATTCGAACTCAATTTTAATGTCACACTAAATATAATGAGTGGAGTAGATAAGATGACTCCACGAAGGAATTCACGTAACAAAAAATATCATGAAATCTCGTATTAAAAGAATAAGAAAAAAAATTTAAATTATAAATATAAACACCGCATACCATCCGATTAATGCTGTGAGCAGAAAATAATCAACTCACACGCGACCAGCCGAACCATCGGGTCCTGCAAAACTCCAAAGCCTAATTAAGATGCATCGAAGGGCTAGCGACTATCCACGTGGTAAGATATTATCGAGAAACAAACGGTCCAAAATCATCCTCGTGTCTACCTCAATGGACTATATAAGACCCAAGTGAGAAACATTTATTTATTATGAATCTTATACTAGTATTATTGCTAGGAAAAACAGTAGTACGAGTCTAGTAGTAACAATAACAGCATTCACTCATTTTCTCCGCCGCTGAGGGCTGACCGGATTCCCTCTGAAATTCACCTGCAGTCGGTTCCAGTCCACCCATCTCCATCGAAGAAGACTGGGGTTGAAGAGGAACGTCTTAGGCAAACGCAGTTTAGCTCCCCTTTTCTGGCCAAGCTAATCCCTATAGCTTAGGCTTAGCTACCTTCAGATTAAGTCAAACGCAGCAGCAATTGCCAACAGGAGTGTAAGATACTACTACGACTACTTGGTAATAACAGAAAACCATCTGATCTGATTATCTGTATTGATGGCTGACTCGGACAACGACTCAGGAGGGCACAACAACAGTAATGCAAACAACGAGTTATCACCAAGAGAGCAAGATAGGTTTTTGCCCATAGCTAACGTGAGCAGGATCATGAAGAAAGCCTTGCCAGCCAACGCCAAGATCTCCAAGGATGCTAAAGAGACTGTGCAAGAGTGTGTCTCCGAGTTCATCAGCTTCATCACCGGGGAAGCCTCCGATAAGTGCCAGAGAGAGAAGAGGAAGACCATCAACGGGGACGATCTTTTGTGGGCCATGACCACGCTAGGCTTTGAGGACTATGTCGAGCCTTTGAAGGTTTATCTGCACAAGTTCAGGGAGATGGAGGGAGAGAGGACGGCCCTTGGAAGGCAACCGACTGATCAGAGAGATGGCTCTTCCGCTGATGACAGCACTAACGCTGCCGCTGGGGGTGCTTTTGCTGGACCTGCCATGTATGGTGGGATGCAGTCAACCATGATGTTGATGGGGCATCATCATCATCAATCCCATATGTATGGATCTGGCACTGGCAGTGGAGCCTCCTCCGGCAGGCCTAGGTAGATTAATTAAGCACTGCTAATTCGCAGCAGTTTGTTCATATCTCTTTTACTCATGCATGATTTCATTCCAAACTTTTCCTAGTGTTTTTCATGCCTTTGATTGGAGAGAATATGTGTGGAGATAGATTATTCCCTTTCACTTTTGTGGACTTGGAGAAGGAGAAAATATATAACATATATATATATATATACACACACACTAATATCAACTACTTGAACATTACATTTATATACCATGTACAGTTATCCCATAAATTCAATGCAGTTATAGTTAAATTCAAGTCTTGTATTACTATGCTGTATAGTTTTATTCTTTGGGGTTGGTCATCCCCATGTTTAGTGATTGGTACTGCACATTTGAGTCTGTGATATGGAAGGTAAGATCGTTGGAACAAAAAGTTTTGTTGGTTTTGGATGGAATGGATAACGTTGGTCTTCTGTCCTAATTTTGTGGCAGCCAAGTAATCTGTTCCTCAATATTTTTTGGTTATTTGTCTCTGTCTGCTTAAAAATCCAAACAAGCTGCTGGGAAAGAGACTGAGAGCTCATCCTACCATGATCTGTGGATATAATATCCACCTCTCAGATTTAAATATGTCTTTCTCCCTGGATTTGTTTTCATTTTGCTGCTACTTTTCTCCACGCGCCTATCCATTTAGTTGACTCTAAATGCTGACCACTAGTCAGGTCAGCTAACTCTGGGAACTAATCTGTTGCTTTGTCTCGAGTACATTTCATCTGTAATTGCTTTTGTTATAATTTTGCACTTCCTTAGTTGTAGCCATTCAAGGTGTATGCTGTATCAGATATTTGCATGGAGCTCACATGAATTCCACATCCATGAATGGTTGGAATTTTGTATCAACTCCTTTCATCTCATGTCTCATGGGAAATATAGTCCTATTGCTGATTTTAATATATGTTTTTCACATTTGATTTGTTGCGGGGGAGTGGAAAGAGAAGAAGTAGAAGAAAACAATGCAAACCTGATGGTACTGGCCTGTGTCTCTCGGGCTCGTTATATATGCTTGGTGGACAGCAGCCTTGATCTATCATAAGTTGCAATATATATGAGATATGGTGGTGGCTGCAAGTTAATCCAAATGTATTAAAACAATTGAGGGAAACATGACAAAATTGAGTACTCATGCTGAATCAAGAATGCTAGCTAGCTCTTGCTTTCTACTTATTATTACATTACATCTGAGATCTGACAAAGAATCCCTTTCCATTAGAAAGGATATATAGGTGCATGCATGGCATGCACACATATTCGTGTGGAACACAAAACAAATAGAATTCAATTGAACTGTGAAGCGGTGTGGCTACCATGCTTAGTTGCTCACTCAGACCCCAATTCCATAGTCCATAGCGCTCTCTTTCTTCTTCTTAAGCCATGTCACCTGGAGCCCTGCTTGATGTAGCAAATAGGCCTGTTAGCTCAGTTGGTTCGAGACCTGCATGGGCCAAGTGTCTTTATTATTGATACTTCATTTTGAATTAGTTTTTGGCTCACGTTGAATAGCAAGCAGCAGTTACTTCATTTACATTGAATAGAAAGTTGGAAAAGCTAGAAGTAAACTAACAAGACTACAGCATCAGAGGGTGCAGACTGTAGACTCAAACTTCAATTTCAATAGAAAGTGGGAAAAGCCAGAAGTAAACTAACACGCCTAGCCAATTAGCCATGCCCCACCCCAGTGGTTGGATTATTCGAGGACCAAATTAATCATATAATAAGGTTGGAGAGGAACACCAAACTTAAAGCAAACCACTTATGTCGGGATGCTAACTGAACCCTTAACAGTTTTAACACTAAGTTGCAATCAGAATGAAGCATAAATGACAATTTATGGATAACAAAATGAAATGAATTGCAAGAACTTAAAGTAATCTTGCTTTCAATATTCTTATACATAGCCCATCACAAAAGCGTAATTTGCAAACATCTTTAATCAAATTCCAGAAACAAACAAGACGTAAATTCTTGAAGTAATGGTAACATTAATTTATTACAGCTTGGCTTTCAAAAGAAGTAACATTAGACATTGAATGAATAATTCACTCAGCCGTATGGCAGGAATAATATAAAGAGGAAGAACCTGACAGAGCAGCGTTATGCCCGTGCAAATAAAGAATGTATTTATGAATTTACAAGTTGAATCCCTGCCCATGTATAATTTTAGGAACCATAACCAGGAATTACCGGCCATTGAGGTCACGATGATTGAAGTACATGTAGTTCTTCTCATCCGAGAATCTTTTCTATTTTCTATCTTCCTCTGCTTTGCATATGTCAACAATGTACTCTGAAAACTCATTTGTCTGGACTAATGGCTGTGCTGGAAGTGGGCATTGTTTGCTTGTGCTCGTTAAAAGTGTTATTACAAACATATGAGAAACATGATTTCCATACCAGGCCATATACAGACAAAATTCTGTTATGCTCCATACCAGGCCATAGACATAATGTTTATGCCACTTGATATGCATGGTAAGGAAGAGACCAAGCATTACAGAGCTTGAGAGTTGAGCTACCAAATTAATTTTGTAAGCCCTCAAAGAGTTTTTAGCTAAGACTGCCTATTATCCCTTACTTGATTGATCTAGTTTTTTATGATCCTGCCGCTTATCCCATGAATGCTTTTTGATTAAGTTAATATTATGCAACATGATTCGACAGGTATATATTAAAGAGAGAAGAAACAATTTAAGTGTTAAAAGCTGTTCTCTAAAAAAACTCTTAAAAAATTGTAATGGCACCATATCAAATGGATAGGATTGATCTTAAGGGTCCCTCACCCTTGGGCCTTTTTCTACACAAAATGGAGCGTATTAAGGTCTGCGGATTAATATCTACACAATTTCTTTACAAATAAAAACTACTGTTAACCCAGTCTACTCAATATACCTACAAAATTTCTTTACAAAAAAAACTATTAAAAGCATGTTTGACTTAATTTTTTTTAGCTTAAAAGCTATTATAAAGCTCTTATAAAGAATAATAATTTTTAAAATTAAGTTAAAACTGTTTGATAAATTTTATTTTTATAAAATTAAGAACAAATAAATATCACACATATCAAACAATAAATTGAGAAATATCAAATAATAAAGAGAGTTTCCAAAACTCAATAAAATAAAATAATGATAAAAATAAATAAAATAAAAAAAAAAAAGAAAATAATACCTTAATGTAGTTCTGATTTTTTTGTTTTTGTTTTTTTTTTAATTTTTGTAAAAATAAAAAACCCCTGATTTGCGAAAAAAAGAGAGAGAAGAGAGGGAGATTGATAGGGAGAAAGGGAAGAGTATTTTTTTGAGAGAGAAGATTTTTTTGAAAAAAAATAACTCTCCTAATAAGCTTATGTGTTTTTTTTAAAAAAAAAAAGAAGAGAAGAGAAAGCTCTTAATTGGAGTTTTTTTTAAAGCACTTTTTTTTCAGATTTTATTTTTAAAAAAAAGTTATTTTTTTAAGAGCTTTTTATGAAATTCTGTTTGGCTCAACTTCTACTTTTAAACAGTAAATAAGCTAAATATAAATCAGACTAAACGGGTACTAAGTGTTAACTCAAAACAACTGTTAACTCAGTCTAGTTAACATATCTACCCAAAATGTTAAATGAGTCGGTATAAGCATCTACCAATAAGCATCATACTCCATTCATGTTTCTCTGTTTATCCTTGAGATCACCTTAAACAAATATAACATATTATAACAAAATGTACATATGCAAGGAAAAAAGCTGCAAATAAACATGTAACATACTTATTGCAATTTGATTTACAAACATGAAAGGAAAGGCTCTTAAAATTTGTTCACAATGTCTTCCATACCTTCATTGTGAAAAGAACAGAAGCATGGCTATAAACAAACAAAAGTAATTCTAATCTCATATTTGCTAACAAGCAGCAACAACTACTAAATAAAAATCCAAAATATATCTAGTATGATAAGGGGATCATAAACCAAAAGCTTAATTTGCAAACATCATCAATCAAATTCCAGAAACAAACAAGACATAAATTCTTGAACTAATGGTAACATTAATTTATCACAGCTTTGCCTTTGAAAGAAGTAACATTAGACTTTGAATGAATAATTCACTTAGCTGTATAGCAGGAGGGGAATAATATAAAGAGGAAGAACCTGACAGAGGAGCATTATGGTCGTACAAATAAAGAATGTATTTATGAATTTTAGAAGTTGAATCGTTGCCCATGTATAATTTTAGGAGCCATTATCAGAAATTACTGGCCATTGAGGTCACGATAGTTGAAGTACATGTAGTTCTTCTCATCCGAGAATGGTGACGAGGTAGGCACGGGAACAAACCCAGAATATTTTCTAGCTTCCTTTGCTTTGCATATGTCAACAATATATTTTGAAAGCTCATTTGTCTGGACAAATGGCTGCGCTGCATATTCTTCAAATGGCATCCACTGCAGAAAGTTAGAAATAACTGTGAGAGGTTTTATCAAATGTGGACTATTCACCTGTATAATCCATCAGACTTTTCTTAATTTTGTTCATAGTTTAACAAGTTGTTCAAAAAGTACTAACCAAAGAATATATAAAATCAAACCTAAAGTGGTTGAGATGAACCGCATATACTTATAACTCAACATTAATTATATCTTTTTCATTTGTTAAGGGGAAAAGGAAAAAACTTTCAAGTTTTAACTTCATTGTTCTCGCTGTGACTGCGAATTACCTGAGCTGCCTCTATCTCAGATTCCTGCTTCTGGATTTCAAAAGAAAGTGGCTCCATCAGGCACATGAAGAATATATCTGACTTTTCAAAGAATGACTTGTGGCTTTGTCTGTAAATAATGGAAGCAAAGGGAGTGAACAAGAATCACTTGCTACCAAGAGAAAGAAAAAATTCATTTAGTTGGCTGATAGGAGTTAGTTTCTCAATTGATCTCCGATTTGTGAAGTAGTCAGTCAGGATTTGTGAGGAATATCGAATCACAGAAATGCTATTTCAAATGGAACTGCATACCAAGCTACTGTGGTGCAGGAAGTGGATATTGTTTACTTGTGCTCCTTAAAAGTGTTATTACAAACATATGAGAGACATGATTTCCCTAGGGACCTCAGTGAAGCATTCATGTCATACAAAGGAGAAACTACCTAAGTATAATTTAGAAAGGTCACTTTCAACCTAAACGGGAAGAGCACATGCTTCTGTTTTGGTTTTAAGCAGCAATGCTTACACAGATTTCATACCTGAACGCTAGTACTTCAATAAATTTTGTGTCAATCTGAATCAGCAAAAAGACCCAAAATGTTTCAAATCATTTATAAATATAATACACCTTCTCAGGTTGATAAGGTGCAATAATTTGTATTACATGTATATATAAATTGAATAACTGTTACTTACTGCTGTCTCTTCTTTCACTTCTCTAACTACAGCTGTGCAGAGATCTTCACCCTGGAGATGAATTTGTTTAAGCAGGGTAAATACATCCCATAGTATTATATCTAGAATCTCCTGATGCACTTACCTCATTCACAACTCCTGTAGGGAACTTCCACACACCTGTACCCCGAAATCGTCCGGTGTTCTCTTGCACCACTAAAACCTGGGATTGAGATGTGCAAACCCAAAAATTTGAGGATAATAACCTTGATTGAAGTCCAACAGCAGAATGAATAATACAGCTTTTTCTCAATAAGCACATCTCAGAGAAAGAGAGAGACAGTTAGAGTGAGTATGCAAGAAAGAATTAGTAGCAGCTCCAGCATTAAACTTAGTTAAATATTGAAGATGGTGATAGATAGTACAGAAAGGAGGGGGGAACCCAGCTGCTAATCTCAGAAATACATATGAGAAAGTAGAGGAGTAAAGGAAGGGCCAGGGATGCCTTCCCCCGCTCATGCATCAACATATACCATGCATAGAAAATTGCAGGCTGGTTTGGGCATATATAACATCATACGAACCATCTCCAACATGACTGAGCAAGGGGACACCAGTAAATCTATGTATACTCTGTTGCCATCTATACTGCAATTAATTACTCAACCAACAATGCATATCAAAGTAAGAAAGAAGAGTTTTTGTTATTGTTATTATTGTTTTTAAAAAAAGATTAGCACAATTTTGGAGCACACTTAATCAAAAAGTTGATGGTTTACGAACTCTTTTTCTCTTCCAAAGAAGACTTTTGGTGATAAGCAGTGAATCATTAAAGAAAAATAAATGACATTTTTTTCTTTCCCTTTGAACTAAAAGTACTGTGCAAATACAATTATGCTAATTTTGGTATGAATGTGTACAAGTAAAAACGGTCACAGTGATATATCTTATGCAAATTCCCTATCTACTTATCGAAGTTTAGAAGCCGCAATTAAAATGGCAAGCTACAGGGAAGTACCTCTCTCTTTTCATTCATGACAAATGCGCCAACGCCTACCCGGTGTGAGGCATTTGCTGGAAGAGTATGTGTACCTTCAGGAATCCAATAAGCAAGCATCAAGTAATTTGGCTCAGCATGGTGAAACCAAAATCCTTCCTGAGCAGCAATACAATGTTAACAGAAGCATATTCCAGGGATGAATGGAAGAAAAAATAAAACTGGCAACTACCAAGTTAGCATTCAACAGAGCTTTCTAGAAATCAGCTTGATTAGGTTCTAAAAGACAATAAATCACCTTGACAGCAGCTTCAACAAGATTGACATGCTGAATAGGTAATTTGATCCAAACACCCTTTTTACCCTGCAAAACATATTCTTGTATGATTCACTAGAAACAGAGAACAGTATGAGAGACAAAAGTGCACATGATAAGGAACCATATATGCCGAGAAGCAAAAAAATTCAAGTTGTAGAATGATGTGTACTGGCTGTAAGCCGAGGTGTGATTTTGCAGAAATGACAAATCAGAAAGGATTTTTACCATTGGAAGGACATCAAACCATATAAAACAGAAGGTAGTAATCAATCGAGCATCTCATTTCGTTATAAGCATGCAATAAATGCAACAGTTGACATGATAAGAAGGAAGGAAAGGACCAGTGAGACTAACAATGAAAGAGAATGGTAGTATAAACAAAGGCATCAAGATTCATGAGGTAAGTGCTATGGCGGACGCTTTCTGTGGGCTGTGGCAGAAACTCCGGACTTGGCAGTACAAACATTAAATGGCATTGGCAGAAAAAAGTAGAGTAAGAAGAAAACCTGGCGACGCCACTGTGCAATTGAAGCTCTAAGAATCGAAGCAAAGGCTGCAGGGTCCATCGGCTCACTCATTTCAACAATTACTCCGCCATACCTATCGTTGACCGCATTAAGCTGTTTAAATTCTTGAACTTGTTCTTCATTTTCAGCAATTACATTCACAGGCGTTGCATTCGCAGATGCTGACATGGCTCTGTATCTGATACTATACCCAGCTGCAACAAGACAAACACTTTCCACATGATCATGCTCCATCTAATGAAGATGCAAAGCTAATGAAGACAATTCCTAGTAACTGGGAAATGTTTACCGAGTTTTCGACAAGAAAGTTTTTCTTCTATTGAAGTGAAATTAGCATGGTTACCTGTTGATGAAGACACCTTAACCGCAGGCCAAGTTGGTACCTTTGCTGAAAATCCCAACAAAGACCATAGATTTCCGCTTGTAATTGTACAACCAATCAATGCAGCCCTTCTTAACATCATCGTAAGGAATTATATAAAATACAACACTTCCAGTCTTGTATTTAATAAGAAATAATATTATTCTGACTGATTGACCTTGTCTTTGTCGTGGATGAGACTTTGAATTGAATTGGGTGACGCGTTAGAAATTGAATGAGTCAGAAATCCATGGCGAATGTCCGACCAGCATGCAACGCGGCACGCTCTTGATATATTAACATAATTAACACTGTGATTAATTATAATAATCTGGTCGTCCAAGTTTTTTCCGATACCACAGACATGCAGAAGACGACGAAGACTGTTGATCAAATCAACCAAAGGGTATTAATTTATTGTGGGGTATATCGGGAATTTTGTTCCTTTTTCTTAACTCAGGTCTCAAGACCGCAACTTTGAACATGGAACAGGAGGGGAAGCTGAGAGGCTGACACGTGGGCAAGTGGGACAAACCGTAAATATCCACAAAACATAGGTTAAGAGCCGTAATTTTGTGAGAGACGCAAGCCAAGCCGCGGATTTTTGTTTTACCCTTTTTACTTCCATTTACTAACACATTTCACCCATCCCCCAACCCAAACCCTCGAATCCAGCCGCACCCTTTTTTTTTTTTTAATAAATTTTTAAAAAATAGTCTACTGGTAGTAA